GCTTTTCTCATGCCGGTACCAGCCGGACACGAGGCTCCTGCTACAAGCCATCAATGCTTCGTGGACAGCACAAAGACTTTCCACCGGAATGGAAGAAAGCAGATAACCGCAGGCCATTCCGAAGCCCAAGAACCAACTGAGGGCGTGATGGGCCATTAGTTTTAGCTGATCTTCCCTCCTATGACACACCCTACTGTCCTAGGGTTGAAGATAACAACAAAAGGCTACAAAACATTCATCACCGAAAAACTTGCAAAAACCAGAAACATGGTAATTAAATTAAAACGCTTCAGAAGTCTGTCAGCAAAAAACAAGTTAAAGTTATATAGAGCCTTTGTCCAATCCCGACTAGTATATCCGCCAATTCTCCTACATGCAATAAAACAAACAAAGAAACTGCAGACAATTCAAAACTTAGCCCTAAGGGTTGTATATAACATCAGATATCCTGACATAGTCACCAACCGTCAACTACACCAACGAGCGCAAATAGAACCCCTAAACGTTTACCTACACCAACACTCAAAAAGAATATGGACAAAGTTAGAAGAAATAGAGCCAGGACCAATCAAAGAATGGATGGAAGAGATAGAAGAAGGAAGAAGAGAACACTCGTGGTTCCCTCGCAGTAAAAGAAGAGCCCTAGAACCCACACCAACTCCACTCTATTGAAAGATACAACGTTACCCCAGTGACAACCCTGGCAGCCCTACCACTTACAACATTAGATCATAAAAAGATGGGATGTTCTTGGCAGAAACACAAGTACCTGCCCTAGACTCCCCACCATTGGCGAGGACATAAGACCCGTAAATGTAAGGCATAAAATTGCAATATTTGTTAAACATACAAACACCTGACATAAATATAATACCTAAGACGAAAATTAGCTGAAACACAAACATGAGAAAACAGAAGCACTTGGGTTGAGCCCCAAGACCTAGCATTCTACTACTATTTTCCAATTTCCTCGCTTTTCTTCTGCACTATCCACCAACCCCAAGTCCCTCCAAATTCCACCATTATTCTTCAAGTCCAGTTCCCGCACCACCAATCTATGCACCTGCATCAAGATTTCTTCATACTTTACTTCATCCATCGATCGATCGATCGGGAGGCACCCCTGGCAGTACGAGTCAAGCAGGTGACAGCCGGTCTCCTCGCCAAAATCTGTAGATCAGATAAGCCCACAGTTGCTAAAATTCGTATCAGTGCCTCCCTCCACCTCGACCACAGAGTGCGAGGGGCCACCTGGTCGCACGAGGCAAGCGAGGTCATCCGACACCTGCAAGCAGAAACACTCGTCAAGAACAACCAAGACACACGAGACAATGGTTACGTTGTTCCTCCACCATGGAGCCCTCCACCAGCCACATTCAAAATTACCGACCTAGGCGATAGTAAAGCCAACCTCCAGAAGGAGGACCTCAAAAAAATAACTCTCGAAGCCATAGCCACCGAGACACCGGCTGATGCAGCATCATACTTCACAGACGGCTCGGTGGACCCAAAACATCATAGATCCGGAGCGGCCTTCTACACCCAAGGTCAGACCCTCCGATGGAGACTTTCCAATGACTGCTCCACCCTACAAACAGAACTGGTAGCAATCTCAAAGGCCCTACAACACGCTGCAACACAACACAACAAGTCCATCATAATTCACACGGACTCGAAATCGGCCATGCAGGCGCTGCAACACAGTCAACCAAGAGACAACGTCCACATCATTACCTCGATCCTCGCACAGCTACAGGTATTCCAAAGCCAAAACCACCCAGTCATGTAGGGATCGGAGGAAACGACGTGGCAGATGAAGCAGCCAAGGCAGCTACACGTTCTAGTAGCGTACACATCCAAGTTCCAGCAAGCGTGCAACAGATCAAGAATCACCTCAGAAAGACTAGCAAGCTCCACATCAAAAAGAGCTTCCTTCACGCATTCAACGCTGGTTCCCAATCAGCCAAATGGTACCTGGCGGCTACAAAAGGGGAACCACCTTTCGCTGACAAGAAAACTCCAAGACAAACCCAAGTCAGCCTTCATCGACTACGACTAGGGTACAAGTGCTCCTGGCAGATGATCGGAAATGACGTCATGGAATGCACCTACTGTCAGGAGCCAGCAGCCAACCCACTTGAACACTATCTCCTCGACTGCGAAGTCACACAAAGCCTCCGAAACAGAACTCAAATCTCCCAAGAAACACACACAACACCAGCGGCCACTCTAACCCGAAAGGCCCAAACAGACCACATTCACCACCTTCTCCGGGTCATCACACGATACCCACCACCCAGATAGCTTAGAAAGTATCCTCTCCCAGCAAGTGCGGACCCCAGTTCGGGGGGCGCGCCACTCCGAAACTGACCACGTCCAAGAGTGGGGGTTGGTGGTAAGCGTCCACTGATCGGGGGTCCGCTCACACTTGCAACCTGCAGTATCCTTCCAATCTGCAGGTGGGACCACCTCCAATCCCAATCCGGTCTGGCTGCTCCTGGAGCTCCAGCCGGAACCACCAAACGGGCCGCCTATAGGCAAAGGCCCGTGTCGGACTACGGTCCGACAATCTCAACAACAACAACAACCCAGGGAGGACATTCTACACTCAGCTACTGGACCCGCAACATCTCTCACAGCTCCTCACCTAGTCACTCCTAAGCACTGCGCTGTACAACAATATATATACAGAAAACGCATTGTGAGTTTCTATCCTACCTCATTCCTGAGTGTGAGATATCTACATGTACGTAAGTTTGTGAGCCCATACAAAGAGATAATAGACAACTAAAGAGAATTGACAACTGGCCACATACAGTACGCTACAAGATCACATTAGATTTGTATTTTATCAATTGTAATTTGTATTACTTTAGTTCTGCTAAAATATCGCTAGTAAAATGTAGGTAAGGTATTTAAATACATCCACAATTTATTTCTGTGTATTCTATATGGTATTTTAGCCATGAAAAAGCATATTTCCTATAGTCGGTAATTTACCGACAGTCGGAGCAGTGACGTCACGGCTTACCGACTACGTCATCAATTTACCGATTAACAGACGGAAGTACTGGATTTGAACCAATCAGCGTGTTCGATAAACAAGAGTCGGAAATTCCGACAGCCCTGCTTCAGATTAGCTATGTGTGACGTCAGACCGCACATGCTAATTACTGTACAGTGTACATCTACAGGACGAAATTAGCTGATGTCCATTTACGGTTCTTTCACTGATGATTGTCAATGTGTCACTAAATGAACGGAAAATATCTCATCTCTGACATACTGTACTATCTAATTTATGTCCGGAAAAAGTCACAGAAAGTCACGAGTTTGGCATGGAAAATAGTCGCAGGAATAGATAGTCGCACTTTTAATAACTTTAACAAAGTTACATTAGGTTTGTTAATTTTGTCTTGGTTTTTTCCTACGTTCATCTAATTCACGCATTAGGAAATATATTTATACATTCATTTAACCAACATTATTTAATGCAGCCTAAGATGTTTATTTTATATAAAAAAAAATGTTCGGTAAGTAAGTTTAGGTATCGCTATAATTAGTTGACTTGGACGCTGCCTTTTGTTATTTAAATCTTCACACCAGAAATGGCCTATAGCCAGCTAGGATGTTGACGCGAGGCTTCTTGTTTATCATGTTTGTTTCCGCTGCAGCATATCTTTTATTCTTTGCTTTAGCTTCAGAAGGTAATTATACTCCGGTTTGTACAGCCAAGAATATTTTTGGGTCGATGAAATTACTTTAAATGGTTTAATTTGAAAATTCATCATGAATGCACATTTACTCTAACAACCTAAACTGATCCAATATTGCGCATAGTTTTCTTAATCTATTTGATATTTATTCAGGGGCGGAGCCAGGAATATCAAAAGGGGGGGCCCCAAGAAGTTGCGGGTGGAGGAATATGTCGAGCACAGCGAGCCCTCCCAGGTATGGGGTTTGAGAGAGCGCTGTCCACCCCCCACCCCTCCCGATTTTTGTTTTTTAATCTTTTCCTTTTATCCTCTTCACCACTGATCGCCTCGTTAGGCCATGTGCACTTGATATTAGGAGATATTTTGATGTCAATAGTAATTCATTTTCACTATACAAAAATGCTTGTGCAATATTACATTAAAGAAAAAGTATTGGAAGTTTCTGATGAAAAGGGGGGTCCGGACCTCACGGACCCACTTGGATCCGCCGTTGTTAAGCATTAATTTATAAGTGCACACAGCTTATTTAAATTAATTTCAATAATTTGTGTTTGTGTGATATACAAAGTGTATTTATTTTTCTTGTATCTACATTGTATTGTCATCTGCAATGGTAACTAATACTAATTTCTTAATTTGTCACTTCTTATGATAAGAGTTTCTTTGACTTTCTTAAAATCTAGCACTGATGTTCATTGAAAGTGCGGATACGGGTGTGATTATTTGTCGTTTTATAAAGCATTAACTGTTTTACATTGTTTAGCTAAACGAGCTCAGAAGCAAACATATATAGTGATATAAGCACTTACACAGTATTAACTGACGCGTCGCGTTGAACCCTGATATTGATTTTATAAGCCTTTACATGTTGTTTCACTCCTACGATATTATAACTATACATTAAATGTGGTAGAACAAAAAAAAAAATTTCTTTCCTTCACTCTATTTTTCACTTAATGTAGTTGCAAGCTAAGATGTGCCTGTTCGATAATCTAAAACATTTTTGGCAACATTTACAATGTCGCCTGGCAGCGCCGACCCACGTGGTCGACTGTACTGCAGCGTTGCCAAGTCGGAGTGGAAGTGTAACCTATCTTGGTTTACGTAAGTCGATAATATGATATTTTTACGCCCACTAATAATGGTGTTTCTTGTATAAATATTATGACTAAAACATTTTAATGTGTATTGGTGAGATTTAATGTAGATTGATTGGTAATGCACAGAGGGAACTGGGGAAGGCGCTTGGTAACATCCCTGCGCACCTTTAAAACTACACTGGTCTTACTGTGTTCTCTCTATTCCTTGCCAGCTAGTGCTGACTGCGGTGCATATTCTGTGGGCCTGGCCTCCTGTGGCTCCTTGTGGTGCAGCTTCTGCCGAGTGATGCAATACTGCATAAGAATCAAATGTGTTTGTTGAAGTTGACTGTAGTTCCCTGATGTAGGCACCATGAGGTGAAGTCAGAAGGTTCATAGAGTGAGTAGTGTGTCGCCTGCAACGTGATGATATATGTCCGTTCTTGCTAAGATATATAGTCAACATCAAACACTCATTCATAGCCGAGAACAACTCCCGCCACTTTTCTATCCAACGTAAGTAGCTGTCCACGTTTTGTTATACGAATAGAAGTTCATAGTAAATACTAATGTCTGGCTATGTGAATTTTTATACAACAACAGTTTATGAAAAAAAAAATTTCATTTGACTGCGCCAATGAAGGGTCTGTATATATATATATATATATATATATATATATATATATATATATATATATATATATATATATATATATATGTATAAAAGTGATCTAGGTATATGCTGATAACCACAAGGAAAGAAAAAACACGAAGTTCTTTCCTTATGTATATATATATATATATATATATATATATATATATATATATATATATATATATATATATATATATATATATATATATATATATATATATATATATATATATATATATATATATATATATATATATATATATATATATATATGTGTGTGTGTGTGTGTGTGTGTGTGTGTGCACACTACTTTTCATATACTGTAGTGCCCATTACTAGTGTGCTAAAAATTTAAAAAAAATTGCTATTGGTTAGAATAATGTTCTTGGAATCATTTGATAACTGTTTGTCTAATTATCTTACCATATCTAAGAAAGCTTAATCACCCAAATACTTGCGTCTATAATACAGCACATAAGAAAAAACGTTGAATAATAATATAAGATCCTCATCTTGGTGTTCCTGGAATATTAGACATGCTGTAATGTAGACCCGAAACAAGCGTGGTGATGGGATTTATAGACCAAGTGCCAAGGTCAGAGAGACCAAAGTGCCGTGTTGAGGCGGGGCCAGACTGGCTGTGATGCCTGAGTAATTTACACACGACCTTGGACAAATGTTGCCTCATATCACTCCCCTCTTCATTTTGGCATTTCAAAATATTTGTAGACAATGATAGATTCATTCATTTAAACAACTTTTGTTTGAAAAATGTTAAAACTAAGGAAACGATTCGGGATTCAGGAAGATTAGGAACACCCGCTTATTTCACTTGATTAAACACCCTCATTCTAACCTAACAAAAACTTACCATAAACTAACCTAACCTGACCTAACAATTTAACGTTAAGACGTTTAATTAAGCGGGGTTTCTAAATTTCATGAGATCCAAAGACTCAAATAATCGTCTTGACGCACCTTGCTTCTTCCTACCTAATAACTTTTACTTTTATCCTCTTCACCATTGATCGGCTCGTTAGCCGCTTGGGCGATCGGTCACGTCTGTTACTTTTCTTTTTCTTTTGTCCTCTTCACCAAATGATCGGCTCGTTAGCCGAATATTTATATAGATGTATATAGTTTGAATTATGCTCCGGAAACTGCGCCTGACAGATTGTGGAAGCCTAGCCCTGTAGCCCCCCCCTCCCCTCCCTAAAGCCGTGAGGAACTGTAGGTAAGTTATAATTTTGTTATAAACTTATTTCTACAACTCTAACTTAACTGTCCTTAATCAACCTAACCATTTTTTAATCTAGCGTAAATGTACTTAAACAAATTTTCCTTAAATCCATCCTAACTGAACATTTATGCATACTGGTACAGGATATGAAAAGTTGATTCCTCTTATGTGAATACAGTTTGACGGAAAATTCGGCTTAAATTACTAGTGTATTAATTTATTCACTTGTCACTAAACAAATCATTAAGTACTGAGTGAGGATTCTTTGGTGTGTTTGAGTGTATAGTTACTTTTTGTATGTGTATGGGTTTGTGCTTGAGTTATGTTTGAGGAGAATAGTCTGTGTTTGTTTTAATATGTTTGAATGTGGAGAGGGAGGGGGGGGGGGGTAATTGGCAGATCTCCCACAAATCATTTAATCAATGAGACATATGGCCTTGAAGAGCCGAGGATATGTTCGTTTGTGTGATGTACATGTACAGTACCCTGTCGGGTCATTTTCATGTCTGTCTGTCTGTCTGTGTGTGGGTGTGCGTACGCTGTCAGCTTGTGCTTGCTTGTGGGATAATGTATGAACTATGCAGGTCTGTTTGCGACTGTAAATGTCGCTGGCAAACATCAGGTTTTTGTAAAATCTTTTGATAATGGAAGTGTTTATTCATTTACTATAAATATATATGTGTGTGTGCACTGATAACCACATGGGAAACACGAAAACACAAATTTCCCAAGAGCTTTCGTGTATGTTTCCTATGTGGTTATGAGCGTATTCATGGATCACGAGGCGCACCTACAGTGATTGATTTGAATATATATATATATATATATATATATATATATATATATATATATATATATATATATATATATATATATATATATATAATTTCCCAAGCTTTCGTGTAATTCACACCTTCAGGGGTGAGTACAGACTGTACTCACCCCTGAAAATGTGAATTACACGAAAGCGCTTGGAAACTTCGTGTTTTCTTGTTTCCTTGTGATATCAGCATATACCTGGATCACACGCACCTACAGTGATTTACTTGTATATATATATATATATATATATATATATATATATATATATATATATATATATATATATATATATATATATATATATATATATATATATATATATATATATATATATATATATATATATATATATATATATATATATATATATATATATATATATATATATATATATATATATATATATGTATGTATATATATATACTGTGTGTGTTGTGCATTTCTACGTTTTTGTGGAGATGAAATTTGGTTAGAATGTGCATGTGGCCTCGGCCCTTGGTATCCGTACCTGTCACAAACGGGGTACAAATGTTTTCCGATGACGCCAAGTTATTTTGGTAAATCAAGAACCAAGCGGACTGTGAAGAGCTGCAGAAAGACCTCTGTGGGCTCCAAGAATGGTCAAAGAAATGTCACAAAGTGTAGGAGGATGCACCTGGGTTGTACCAACGGTAAGGAGGCGTATCATATGTTCCAATGGGATGATGAAACTGCACTATTTGAGACTGAATGTGAGAAGGACCTAGGTGTGTATGTCGACAATGAGCTGAAGTTCTTGGGCCATTGCGAGAAGAAGGTACTGTCACCTCGTCTGGTCCCCGAGACATGCTAGGGACTCTCAGTTGGTTGAAAATGTTCAAAGGAGGGCCACCAGACTGGTGCCTGCACTTCGGCACCTCAACTACCCTGAGAGATTGGAACGCCTGAACTTACCTAGCTTATACTACAGACGGGCAAGGGGTGACCTAATTGAGGTGTACTGTATAAGCATCTCAAGGGGCACTACTCAGTCGAGTGTCCTTACTTGGAGCTGGCGGACGCTCGTCCCACAAGGGGTCACAGCTCAAGATTGAAGAAGCCGCAAGTCCAGAAAACTGTGAGGGCAAACTTTTTCGGAGTGGGAGTTGTGAACTCTTGGAACAATCCACCAGAAAGTGTTGTGACGGCACCGAGTGTGAGCTCTTTCAAGACAAGACTTGACCAACACTGGAGCAGGTTCAGGTACATTCAGGAGCCAGTGCATGCCCAGTACTTGCCAACAGTGTGTAACAGAGACGTGACCGATCGCCGAAGCGGCTAACGAGCCGATCTTTTGGTGAAGAGGATAAAAGAAAGGGAAAAGTAATCGGAGACGTGACCGATCGCCCAAGCGGCTAATGAGTCAATCAGTGGTGAAGAGGATAAAAGTAAAAAGTAAAAGTTATTATATTATATATATGATTATATCTTCGTGATTGTTCTCCATTTGTGCATACAGTCTTAACTACGAGACCTAACTACTGTACACTGATCTATCGAAGTAAGATTAATTTAAGGAAATATTATCCTCATGACAGAGGGAAAGATGAAGACAAACTGACAGACAAAATAACGACAGTAACGAGAGTTTAGTCATTTGGATATTAATAAAGTGATGAGATAGTCTGGTGCCATGAGATGAAGCAGAGGTGGTATCAAGGCTGGAATATCAAAATTTCACTCATAGAACGTACCTTGATAGAATCTCAAGCGACTTTGGAAATTATATCTGTCATCTTCGGGTCGTAACTTACGGAGAGCCAGTAAGATGCATTCACATCATCAATATGTGGGTAACTTAAGAAGCTAGATCCGGACCCTTGTCTAATCTTGTTATCTCAGTGGAGAGAGCGCGGCACGTGTCCCACAAAGACTCATGAATGGGTTAAAGGAGACTTATCATTGTACCGTTGAAAACCTTCCCACTTTCTGCGGGGTGCATGTTACATGCGTCATCCGTCTTCACGTTGCGATTTATCATTCATGTAGTTATTGTCATATACTCATAAATTCAAGGAGAAATGTTATGATATGGAGAGAGGATAGCCCATCAAATATTTTGACACAAGCGTAGCAGCATTCACTGACAGCGTTTTTGCTTTCTCCATATTTGGTCATGGTGTTTAAAATGGCCTTTATTTTCCTGACGAATCACTCACTTGTGCCATTTTCTGCAGATTCATTAGTAGCTGTGTTTTTATTCTGTGACTATTCCTTTTATATAATGAAATCAATAGTAACATGATTGTTTTGGTTTTAATATTCATGTATGGGCGGTTTTAGATTAAATTTAGATTGCCCCCAAGGGAGCTAGATTATTGGGCACCCCCTTACATCCTGTGCAAGGTGAAGTGCATAAGCGTTTACAGCGCCCATCTGGGAAGCATGCGGAGTTCATGCTTGCCTTTATGACTCATGCATTAAGGGCGTAAAAGCCTGAAGGGTCATGGGTTTTGTCAGCAAGTTACATAAAGTGACAGAATGATGAGTGTGGGTGGGAAAAATTCCCGGTACAATTTATCTGTTTATGGCAAAGCGTGGCAGGTCCCTAATAATGCCAAGTGCCAGGCCATAGGCATTGACAATATTGAGGGACATAACTTTTGGTGTGATTGTGATGGCGTGTACGTTGGTAGTGTCGGCTTCAAGGGGGACGTCGAGAGGTTGGTAGGGGACTTCCTTCTTGGCGTAGATATGTAGTTTACTAGCATGTCCTCATGGTGGTCAGATGATGTGGAGAACTGGAGTGGATGCGCCCCAGATGCCGGTAGGGGACAGGGAGCTGGGGATGGTGTCCTCGTGTCCATGAGCAGGAACGGCTTGCGGTGGGTGGACGGGGGCAGCAGGGCACGCCAGGGCAGGCTCGGTAGGTGCCACGCCAGCAGTGATGCCAGGCGGCGGTGGAGTAGGCCGTGAGCAAGAGGGGCACACAAGGGGGAGGCTACCAGCTTGTGTCAAACCAGAAGAGGGGGGTGATTGGGTAGCAGTTGGAGGCAGGGGTAGTCTTTCAATACGGTTGGTAGATTTGTGGAAAAGGGATATGATCTGTGTTGTGTCACCGGAGGGGGGTTGTGGGTGGGACCACTGGGAGCACAAGGCCTGACAGCGCCAGATTAGAGACGGAGAGGAGGCCCAGTAGTAGTTGAGTTAGGAGATGACTGGGAATGTTGTGTTGCAGTCAGGTGAGGCCAGGCAGGGGCAGGTGATGTTGAAGAAGGTGTTGCCAGTGGAAGGGACGCAGAGGGATGCAGCCCTGTAGGCTGGGGGGAGGTTGAAGTTGACGCAATCTTCAGGGAGGCTTTTCTCCTGGGACAGGCGGACGTTTGGGGCATTGCCGTGAGTCAGCATTGTGCCAGCCACTGCAATTACAACACCTGGAATCAACAACATAGCCCACACCGCTCCCATTGAGGTGGTCTTTGATTTTCTCGGCACAAGCGGAGGAATGATGGTTACGTGAACAGAAGCGACATCTGGGACGATCACGTTGGCAGCATGCGGTGAAGGTGTGACCCCAATGGGAGCAGATAAACACAAAGAGCAGGCCCGGGGTGATAGGGTTCTGCATACAGTGGGGGGGAGGACTGGGTGGGCCTCAACAGTGGTTGGGCATTCCCTCCCCTTCCATTTAACAATGACAGCTGCTTGTGGGGTCTCCCCCCGGTAATGTCGACGTATACAGTCAACCCTCGCCTTACGCACTTTCACTTTACGCGTTTCCACGTTTACGCGGTACCCTGCCGAACACGGAATGCTCACTTTCCACGGTGTGTGTACCCTTATACGCGGAGAGCGGCTGACGGTCCTCTCGCGCCGCGCCATTTTTGGATCCAAACCTCCCGCCATCCGCCATGTTGTGTAAGCGGCGCGAGTAGGTTGCGCAGTGTATGTCTTTGTTGCGTTAATTGTGACGTCATATGACATATCGGACTGTGATTGGGCAAAGCATCCTTACCTCCCTCCCCGCTAGCTGTGATTGGTTTAATGTACTATGACGTGCCCCGCCGTGGGAGCGTTCAAGCCCCTTGACCTACCCGCGTCAGTTACACCCCTCCCGGCTACACCGTGTATATCGGTATCCATTGTTCCATAAGAATGGCTTCCACCGGACCACTACCACCACCACAAAGAAACCTTGCATTACCTGGATCCAGCCGCCCTAAGCCAAAGAAGACACGACGTTCCTTAAGCTACGAAATCAAATATATGATCATACAAGAGTTGGAGAAAGGAACAAGACAGGTTGATCTCGCGCACCAGCATGGTGTTAACGAATCAACCATCAGGACAATTAAGAAGGATGCAGCCAAGATAAAGGAGCACATGAACATCACAAAGTCTACAGGTGCTTCTATGATCAAGTATTTCCACAACCAGGTGCTTCTCAAGACGGAAAAATTACTTGTGAGCTACTTGGTTCGTCAGGTGCAACGGAACATGGCGGTGGACACGCGCTCAGTTAAGGAGTACGCACGTGAACTGTATGCTGCAGTGTCACGAAAGATGGGAATTGCAGAGCCCAAACCCTTTAATGCTTCCTCTGGGTGGTTACAGAGGTTTAAGAAGAGGAACAAGATCACCAATATCAACATTGGTGGTGAAGAAGCTAGTACTGACCTTGTTGCGGCTAGGGAATTTCCTCCATTTTTACGTGAGATTATGGAGGAAGGACAGTACACCGACGACCAGGTGTTTAACATGGACAAATCTGGTCTTTTTTGGAAAAAGCTACCTTCCAAGACCTTCGTTGTGAAGAATGCCAGCAAGTGTCGGGGCCGGAAGTTGCAGAAGGAGCGCATCACCGTCCTGTTTACCACCAATGCCTCCGGTACCTGTAAGCTCAAGTTATCGGTGATCCACACAGCATGCAAGCCGCACGCCTACAAGAGCATGGACATGACCAAGCTAAATGTCCACTGGCTGACCGCACGTAAGGCGTGGATGTTCTCAACTCTGTCCCTCTCCTGGTTTGAAGACTGTTTCGTTCCCGATGTGAAGAAATTCTGTAAGCAACAGAATGTTCCATTCAAAATTTTGTTGCTGCTTGACAACGCACCAGGACACTCGCCCCTACTGTTAGATATTCACCCCAACGTAAAAGTGGTCTTCCTTCCTCCCAACACTACGTCTATAATACAGCCCATGGACCAAGAATTGGTCTGTAATGTAAAAGCTGCATTCTCTGCCAAGAAATTCAAGCTCCTGAACGACTACACCAACACCAAGGAAGAGTTGCGTAACCTGAGTGACACCAACACCGATAGCAAGAGCGAAGACGACGAGGATCAACAGTTGGCAGAGCAAGAAGTACTTTTGAGACAATTTTGGAGAACATTCAACGTCAAGAAAGCTGTGGACTTCTTGGTGGAGGCATGGGATCAGCTGTCTGTAGCAACTGTTCGTCACGCATGGAGACATGTGTTGCAAGGTATTCCGGGTGTTAGGCAGAGTAAATCTGTGACTGGTGAGGTTCAGACTGTTGCAGTAGCAGTGGACCTTGCCAGAGAAGCTGCGCAGAGTGTTACAGCTGCAGGCTTCTCCGAGACCACCAACGACGACATCCTGGAGGTGATAAGGGATCCCGATGTGACTACCGACGAGATGGTAGATGATGATGACGTCAGTGAAGAGGCAGGTGGCGCGTCATCCCAAGAAGAACGCCACTTATCCCATAGTAATGTAAGGGGTGCCATCGAGTGTATTGAGAAAGTCAAGCTCCTCCTTTCCGACGACCCTGACGCTAACAGGTATGAAATCTTCACTCCCCACCTGTTGCAGACTATGGAGCCCTACATCAAGGTTTTTCACGACAACATAAACACCAGCCGTCAGCAAAGCATAACCGAGTTCTTCGCCCGCAACCCACCACAGCCAGCCCAAGCCAGTGATAGTGACAGAGGCAGAGACAGTGATGATGACTTTGAGGGATTTGTCAGGGAGGCACTAGTAAGTGTGGATGACACCGATGAAGACTCACCTGAGGGCCAGTAGCCTGCCCTCTGCCTCGGAACCAGCCTCCATTCCCCTACGCCGACCCATCTCTTCTACTAACGTAAGTGTTAACCCCAACCTTGTTTTTTTTCTAACCTAACCTTCAGTATATTATTCTCTTATTGATTGTTCCCGTCTATATTATGTGTGTGTGAATACCATCATAAAGTTAAGATGGTGTTTTTAGTAAAACGTACATATTGTGTCGGGAAAAAGTGGAGTTTGGGGGTCGGCCCAGTCTCTATTTCAATTAATCCCATATGTTATGTTGTTCACTTTACGCGGGCCACCGTGGGTTCACTGTACTGAGTACCCGTGGATAAAAGTTACAAGCATCTTCGACTTAAGCTTATAGGGGGAATTGCTTAACTAGGATGTGGCAACATTCTGCTGCGTCAACAGGTGGAGGCACAAGGACAACCCCGTCAAATCCAACAGTACTAAGTGTATCGTAGACCTCAAGAGACTGACACTTGATATAGTTGCGGTTCTTACCTTTTCGGAATTGAATGGTGAGACCGTGTTGTCTCCAATACTTTGTTGTCCGATTAAACCATTCCTCGGCGGTTTTCAGTGAGTCCTTGGGGAAGTGCAGATTCAGCTTACTTGTTTGGTTGGCAGAGGGGTGGGTGGCGAAGGGAAGCTCCTTGGCATTGATGTTGTCACTCCAGCAAGTGTTTTTCATAGAAACATTACTGTTACTGTCACTATTACTGAGGTCTATCTCTTGCAGGGTGTGGGATGCACTATGACTATCTGTATCAGTAATGTCTGTATTCATGAGAGAGGGGACGCCTCTTCTGGGGCATTTGCGTCGACCTCCATCGCTGGCAACACTTGCTGGCAAAGGGGTAGATAGAGACTGAGGTGGCCTTTGTGTGACAATCGGGAGGACAGGACCACCTATGGGCACACGTCTGTCCCCTTACGTGGTATGGGCGGTTGGTAGGAGACAGCAGAGAAAGGTCACTAGGGTCACTAATCCTTGACTAGGGCTGTTCAAATTTTGTCATTACTTAACATTTATTATTACAGTATTATTATTATTATTATTATTATTATTATTATTATTATTATTATTATTATTATTATTATTACTACTACAGATGTCGCTGCATAAAGGAGAAAATGGGTTTCTGCCCACAACTGAGCTGGATGACCGCCTTCTAAAATATTTTCCCGGGAGGGCCGAGAACCTCGACTGCAACACAGAGGAGGACAGGAGGAACCAGGAAGGTGGAGTGCAGGAGCTTTCGGTGCCAGAAGAGGAGGAAGAAGTAGTACTCACCTCCCAACTTGTGGAAGACATCTTAGGACCTGAAGAACACACCCA